ATGCACCTGCATCACTTGCGTGGGGACAGCTGGAGGGGCTGGCTGTGTTTGGGATGGGGCCGCTTGCACTGTGTGCACCCTGCTTGGTGGTGCTGAGCTCTTTATCCCGTCCACACCCCAGAGGTGGCGGTGGGTGGCCTGCAGATCAGGATCTGCCCTGAGTAGAGAGTGTGGACACAATGATAAAAAGAGTTAATCACTGAGAGGCAGTCAGGTGGACGTGGGTGGTCACATGGGGGGCAAAAAGCACTGGAAAGAAGCCAGGTTGTACTCAGGTGGTCCAAGCTCCCCGTTGTCCCTGCTCTCAGTAGCTGGCTTAGATCTTAACAGGCTTCTAGGGGCACCTACTGCTCTCCCCATTTGGAACGTCTGGTGACTTTGACAGCTTTAGTGTGTCTGAATGTGGCCTTATGAAAATGATAAAGGCTGTGAACGTAGCTGGGAACTGATGCACCGAGGGAGGCCTTGGGATCTTTCATCTTCTGCGCCATGAGGTCCTGACGGACAGGATGTCGGACATCTCCCCTTGTGATGGCTTTTGTTTGTGAAAGCTTAGCTCTGCCTTTAGCACAGTGAGTAGCGGAAGAGCAGGAGCTTAGTCTTTGGCAAAGCGACTTCATCTGACGGGAGCACAGGCTGGTGACTGCGGTGAGCAGGAGCGTTGGGGCTCTCTGTGTGCCTGCCGGAGCCAGGAGAGGTACCAGGGTTCCTCTGGGGACAGAGGCACTGAGTATCAGTTCCCAAATGTGCTCGCTTAAAGCACAGTGCTGCTGATTTCAGGTGTGGCAGGAAAGGAGGTAAGCCAAAACAGTTCTACAGTGCTTCGGTGCCGGTGAGCATGTCCTGGCACGGAAGGTTGTGTCCAGCACCCTGGTTTTCAACTGCATCATGCAGCGGGAGAGAGCAATGTGCTTAGGGCTTCTGGATCAGGAAATCTGTGTGCATCAGCGTGGTCTGAAATGGCTATAATGAGATCTTCCCCTCCCACAGAGACCGAAGGAGATCTTGGCATTGGACTTGTGCTCACAGGCAGCCTTCTACCAGCATCTCGTTCTGTGTCTAACCAGCCTTGCCAGGCTCCCACGGCTGGGCAGCAGGCAGAGGCCCTGGCCCCATGGCTCCCTCTCCCTCTCCTGGTCCCTGGACTGTTCTTTGAGTTTCTAGCGGTGCATCTGAGCGGTGTTGGCAAGGTCAGAGCTGCAAAAGGGGGAGTTGGAACTGAAGTGGGCAGGCAGGGCAGGGTAACCTTTTCTGACACCTTGGTGCTGATCTGAAGGTTCTCCTCCTGCAGTCCCAGTTCTTGGTGCCAAGCCTGAAGAGCTAAGCCCAGTGCCTATCAGGAGTCGGTCAAATACTTTTCCAGCCTGCCCTGCTGTGACGGGGTGATCTGGTCGTGTAAGGACTTGGAAAAGTTCATTTGTAAGGAACTGACAGCAAGTTCAAGTGGAAAGCTGCAGGGAGGAGGTCATAGCCCTGAGCAGAACGGATGGCAGCTCTGGGACTAGGCTCTAGGTCTCACGCACTGGATTTGGCTGTGCAGATCAGCACAGCCCCCTCCAGGTCACCGTTGATCTCTTCTGGGTTCCCTGGTGAACAATCAGCAGAATTTGGGGAGGAGCATGGGGGGGACTTGAGGAGCTGGGTGCTGAGCAAGGAGCGGTGAGAGGAGGGCAGAGCCAAGCAGCTGCAGCTCCCTGGGGAGCTGGTGAGTGCGGTGGGTGCCCCTGGGTTTGCTCGGATGTTCCCACGGGCAGAGTTCACCCCGTCTCAGCACGGTGCAGATCTCTGAGCTCCAGGGGAAACTCCAGACTACGAAGAGCAGTTCAGAGGCTGGGACAGACAGCGGTCTACACGACAAAGAGTCCGCAGCTCCGCTTGGTGTCACGACTGTCTCGCGAGGTGAATATCGCTTTGTAACGGAAGAGATGGAAGGGCTCTTCAGGCTTTTTTTTCTTTTGGTCTCTGAGAACAACACTCCAAGGTCTGAACCTCTGAATCTTTGCACAGCGTTCAAGAATAAAATTCCTTTGTATTCAGGAATGGCTCCTGGAATTTTTTTAAGTATGTGAGTGCCAATAAGTGATTCCTTGACCTTCCAAACAAATGAGGTTAGAAAATAATGCAAATACAGTAATACTGCTCTCTAGTCGAGTGACTCACGGAAATGTTGGTGAACGCAGCTGCACGGCACGCCGTCAGGGCCCAGGTGCTTTTGCACTTGCTCAGAGCTGTGGTAGGTGAAGACACAGAGCGATGTCCTAACGCCCACTTTACACTGTGATGTGTTTACCCTCTGGTACCCCAGGCAGGGCGGTCCCCGTTTGGCCAAGTGCGTATGTCAGTCTGTGAGCACTGCGCTGTGGAAACCGGCGCTCCTGATGGCAGGTGGAGCTTTTGCCAGGTCTGGGGGAAGTCTTCGACCTTTGCGACACGTCCTCCTTTGCTGCTCGCAAAATGTTTAGCGTGCAGCACCCAGAGATTGCTGGTCACCCATCCCTCCTGTTCTCGCCTTTCAGTGATGTGTGGTGCCAGATGAATACTGGTTCCAATATTTCATTAGGTGAAGGGACACCTGAGGGCTCTGAAGATGGAGTCAGGGATCCTGCACGCAGATATTGTCTGGGGAGGTGGGAGACCTGGAGCAGAAAAGGTGCCATTAATTCAGGAGGATTTATTGGGCTGCTCCTGCCCCAAACCCGGCCACCCAGAGTTAGGATATGTTCCCTGTTAGGAGTGAGTTGTGTTGAAGTTTGCACTGTGCCTCTTGCTTGGTGGCAGTGTTTGTGCCTCTGTTATGGACCTGGGTTTATTGTTCGGTGTCTCACAAGTGGGAACTGTGGAGACATCTCAAAACAGGGAGACTGACTTACATTGCCCTTCCCTTCCCCTGGATTTTTCCAGAGGAGCATACATAGGTGACGTGTCTCTCCTTCCCATTCTGTGTTTCTCAGGGAACAGAGAATTCAGGGAGTTTCAGGTGAACTCTCTCCTTGTGCGAACTCGTATGTCTCCTTTTATTACCATTGTGTTTCTCTGGAAAAAGAGAATTCAGGGAGTTTCAGGTGAACTCCCTCCTTCTGCGAACTCGTATGTCTCCTTTTATTACCATCTGCACAGGGAAAATGCTGCTTCTGTGGTGCACACACACGCACCTGAGGTAACACTTCTGAACGGAGAGCAGCGAGGGAATTGATTAATGAAATGCATCTCTGGCTTTGATTTGTTTTGTGGGTTGGGCAGAAGCACTTGCTCCATTAGCATTCAGCTGGTGCAAACAAGGATTGTAAAGGCCTTTTTTTAATCCCTGCCGCTGAATACAGTAGTCTGTCCAAGGCTGTTTACATGTAGAAGGAGTTATTCTTTGTGCTGATTGCCCTGGGCACTGCTCAGTACCGAGCAGTAGAAGAAAACCTGTTTGGCAGGTGGGAGAGGTTATCCTTGCCATCAGCCTGTGCTCCTGACCTGCAGCGTGTTTCCTTCCCCAGGCTGGAGATCCATCCACAGCCTTCCTGGTGGTGGTGGCCGTGGCAAACGAGGAGGAGCGAGTCTGTGACGGCTCTCGGTGTGAGCGTGCCTGCGAAGTGAGAGCTGTGCAGGCTGAGCAGTTAGGTGTGCGGGTTTCTCCGAGCCCGGCGTGCTCCCGCGTGGAAATACCAGGGGCGTTATTTTAGTTGTGGGAAGGTGTAGCTTTCTACCTCTTAATAACTACATTTGTGAAGATTTGTTAAAGCTGTTAATTTAGCTTAAACATTTTGTGTGAGGGAGGTTCTAGAAAATTACAGTAATTGTAACTGTCAGATGAAGACATTTGCTGTGCCTGGAGGGAACGGGCCTGCGTTGCATGGCTGCTGGCAGAGGTTTGCTGTGTTCCTGCAGCCGGAGGGACAG